CCTGCTGCTGGACTTATTTACTCTGAGAGCTACTATGACCTCAAGATCCTTTCCTACAGTATTGCTTAAGTGCTCTGCTGAATCAGATCCTAGATTAGGAGTAAACCCATGGAAGTAAACAGAGAATAATGCAGGTGTGAAAACAATAGAGAGCAGATTTAGGAGAAAGTTGCTAATTGAGTATCTTTTGTTTGCACTGCAGGTCTGTTGTTTTGTCTCCCTAGTGCTCATTCCTTCAAATAGACTTTATCTTCATGGATACATGATTCCCACCATCTCCACATGGCTCAACATATACATATACTCACCACATATATAGTTGATAATTACATTTAACTGATTTTATAAAGGGTGAGAATACAGTATTTACCCAAATCCAAGACAACTTTGAATTTAAGACAACTCCCCAATAATTGTATTCTATACAAGGAAAATTATAAATTTGTTGTTATTTTCCATGTATAGAATCTAATTTTTGGAGGGTCCTCTTAAATTATCTGTTTCTGCACCCCGTCCCATAGCTGTAGTGGAAAAAGTAGCAGTGGGGTGCAAGGGTCCCCAGCCCTGGTCCCAGCCAGGAAGAGGGAATAGTGGCAGCTCCAGGTTAGGCCATGTCAGGAACAGAGGCAGAGCTGAAGGTAAGCAGCAGGGGAGCAGGGGGAAAAGAAAAGGGAAGGGAAAGGGAAAGGAGCGGTAGTGGCCAGGATGGGGGAGCAGACAGCAGCAGGGATAGGATGCATGGTCTCCCCCTGTTCACCCCCCACCTGCACCACACAGACTCTTGGGCACTCCCCTCACTGGAAGCCCTCTCCCTGCCACACAAGCCACCCTGGTCCAAGGCAGGGAGGTAACTCTGGCTTCAGTTCTAAGGCCAGAGCTGAAGTTGGAGTTAAACTGCTGCCTGCCCCAGACTGGTACTCAGATCTAAGAGCAGGCTTTTCCCCCTCTCTGGCTAGGGACATAAGTTACATATAAACCAATTTACATGATCAGAAACTGGTTTAAACCTGTAATAGAACATAAGTTCAGTGCATATGAACCAGTTTCAAAATAGCCAAAACTGGTTTAAGATAAACCTGGTTGAATGTAGTATCAGACTTAAATGATTTGGGTCAAACTTGTTTATGGAACTTCTGTCCCAGACCCATTCCTGGTTTAAGTTAAATCAGAGTCCTGCAGGATCCCAGCATGCTTTTCAGCCCTGGGCTGGGCTGGCCTGTCTGCTGCAGAGAGTAGGGCTGGCCCTGCCCCTCTCTTCCCTAGCTGGAGCTCTGGTTGGCTAAGAGGGAGGTGGAGAATGCAGGCACAGCAGCATCTACCTGACTTCTCTCTGCCCCACCACTCTTTCTGCTCACTGCTCAAGCAGGGATCCCCCCATCCCTCCCTCCCATTTTCCACAGCATGGACCCCAGCGGCACAGATCCTAGCCAGCCTCTGGTCATAGTCATGCTACCCCCATGCTAGCTAATGCCGAGAGGTGTCTATGCGTGTCTCCAATTTCACTGGAACAAAGGCAGACAGAACGGTTTCCACTTAGGGCTTTTTAGAATTAATCAGCGGGTCAGCTGGTAAGGTTCCTCCATTCCTTCCTTGGAAAAAGCTGTTTAAGAAGAGCATGAACTAATGAGAAAGAGACTTTTGTTTTCTTGATGGGCTGATAAGCTTTGTGTTCTGATAAGCTCCCTGTTGACTGCTGGCTTTCTTCAAAGGCCTCAGTCTGTCACTGTTCAAGAGGAAACAGAGAGAGGTGTGAAAAATTACCTGGT